GCATGGAAATGCATACAATTCTGAAATAAAAAATTAAACAAATAAATTAATAAATTAAAATCTATCTATCTATCTATCTTGCTGATATATGTGTTCATGGTTTTAGCTTACAATAATATACGAACAATCAAATTTCATCTCTTTATCTTTTAAGTGTTTGATTTAGATGAAGCAAGAAGTTTCAGAATTGTAACACTTTCTGGCATATATGTGCATACAGCAGCTTATGAAAACATGATTCAGAATGAGGTTTGTCGTTACCTCGAGCGAACAGGTTGGAGAAGTCTGTCTCTGCGCGGGTGAAGCGCTCGCTGTTGTCACACATCTGGTTCTTCGTGCTCTCCTTGAAGGCGCCCACCATCCGACTCTTCTCATCCAGACTGTTGTTCTTCTGCAGGAAACCTGCATCATTACAACACGGGGAAGAATTGCAAAACATATCCTCAGCCTTGATTCTGGATGCTAGAGGGAAAAAGTTGTATCTCCAACCAGTTGCTTTAACATAAGCAACTAAACAGCAGGCTTGCTCTCTGATATTTATACCTAAGGGGGATTCCAGTGGTTGGAGTTTTAGTAGGACATCGCTATTTATGGATTGGTGGAGGTTCAGAGGTGTTACTGTAGCCATGTCATCAGAGGACATGTAGGGTGTGTGTTTTTTGGATCATGAAACACTGTTGAAACACGGTGGAGTCTGGGTCTGTCATCCTTCACAGATTCCGCTTGACTGACTAGATGATCCATGCCATTAACTGCCGACAGGCACATTCAGTACACCGAAGCTCCCATCTATCGAGGATGCTTTATTGCAGCATCTTACGTGATCATGGACAAACAGGTTTAGGCAAGGCTTAAAGACCCAATAAAATGTAAAAATAAAGGTTGTTTATTGGCATCGATGGCTCCATGAAGAACCTTCAAGTATCCATTAAAGGTTCTTTAAAATGGAAAAACGTTCTTTAGATTTTTTAAATGTTCCAAAAATGGTTCTTTTAAGAACTGATCACTTTGGGGAACCCAAATGGTTCATCAGAAACCCGATTTGGAACCTTTATTTTTAAATATGAAAGAGAGCAAACACCTAGCAATACAAAATATGTTTATTTTTCAATCATAATTCATAGGCTACATTTTGTACTGACTGGTTTTATTTATGGAGGACTGCTTAGAGCCACTAAATATTGGGTCATAGATGGTTGGTAAGATTATAAAGAATATTTCTCAATATTTAACAGCATATTTTCTTAGAGTATCCGTCTTTCGGTCAGGAGGGCCGGGCTGTCTTTGCGTGCCGGTTATCTCTCTCATTTTGAGCAGGACTATCACACAATATTATCCCCCCCCCCCTCCCCCAGTTAATACTCCCCTCAGCCCACCACGCAGCCCTTCTCTCTCATTCAGGCTCGGTTCTGATAAGAGCTAATGACTATTCGATGTCATAAATCTTTGGCGATGCGCTGAACATCAATAGGCGACACGATTTTATTGCGGTTATCAAAATTGATTTTTCTGTTTTCTCTCACGCTAAAGACCAAAGGCTTTTTGGTCTCCACAAGCACGTTAAGCATGTTTATTGTGCATGCAATTTAAATAAAACACAAATTCTGATTAAATAGCTGCACAAAATCATTTACGCTTGATATATGCTGAATATTACATATATGACTTCACACTCTGGATTAGGCATTCATTTCATTTATTTTCGTTTCTTTAAAGCAATCAAAATCTATTTCTGCATGAGCTCTCTCCAAAGAAATAAACTACGACAAAAACATAATGAAATACATGAATGCATAAAGAAAGAAAACAAATTTGAAAGAAATAAAGAAATTGTATTTTTATATTTTTATTATTTATATATATATATATTTATTTTACTTTATGCATTCGCGTACGTTCAATTTATCCCTGTAGTACAAAATAAGACAGAATTTTAATGACAGAACGATCATTCAAGTTTTCATTTTGTGTGTTTTCCTGTAGGTTGTAACATATACATTGTATTATTAATTAGCTTTATGTTTTTTGCAATAATCAGTGCATAAGATGTAACATGTCCATTTTTTTTTAAATGAAGGCGAAATTAAATCCAGAGGACCCTGCCTTTAGATACGAGAAAGAAGCGACTAAAAGTTCACCAGGAGCAATGGCCACATCCTCCCAGATGCCAGCATCTTAAAAACACCCAATCCTCTTCACATCTTTTAGCAGGCTATAAAAAGCAGCGTGGCGTAAAAAGACAAGTTGAGAGAGAGAGAGAGAGAGAGAGAGAGAACCACCCACTAGGAAACGAATAGACTAGAGAGCAACACCGGCAGCCCTTTTTTCTCCTGATATATAGAGTTTCACTGTAGAACAAATCCAGTTACGAAAACCTATCTAACTGACCGTGAGAGAATATTTCCATCCAGACCCTGACGATTCACAGCACTCTCAGGCTATTTTTCTCTTGTCTTGCTAAGCGTAAACCTCTCATTTCGGGCTGATTTCTATTCCTTTGTCCGGAAAATAATAATGCGAGTGAACAAGGGGTGATATGGGGGAACAAAAGACTAAGACCCTGTTCGCACAGTAGCCTACAGGGTAAATATCAGCTCGCTGACCTTTGGTGTGATGGAAACACGCAATGACAGTCACTTGCTCCCTATCTAGGGCACAAATGTATTCACACCTGGGGTCAACAGAGCAACAACAGCATGGATAAAGGTGCCTTTGGTTTTGGCACCTTGAGTGACCCCACTGATTGAAATGATGTTGGCTGAAACTTACCACAGATCTTCATGCCCAGTTTCCTCGTGCATCCGTGTGCAACCCCGTACCACGCGTCGCCGGCTAAAACGAGACGTTTGGAGAGCTGTTCAACATCCCTTATTTCATTTTATTTGTTATGCTATGGGTGAGGATGTGTGCGCCTAATAAAGCAGGGTCAACATGCATTGACGCAGAAGGCAATGAATGTGCGCAACAGATTTGGGTCTTTGCCGGCTCTGTGGCTTTTTTTCTTCTTCTGTGTCTATTTCAGGTTTTTTTATGAAAGAAATCAATATAGACTATCAGAGAGGCGGGCAGCTAATAGATGGTGGCACACATCCGGCAAAGAGGCGGTTTAAAATAAGCGGGCATGAAATGAGGTCTCGGAATTAATTGAGTGAAACGCTTGTGTTTGACTTGCCAGCCGCCATACAGTGAGAGAAAATGCACCATGGAAGACCCCCAGCATTAGTGACCAGACAGATGCCAATGAAACAAAAAAATGCACATTATTATGCACACTCACAACATTAAGCATTCGCATATAGCTATTGAATAGCACGAACAACAATATTCATAACGTTTTGAGCTTGCATTTTGATATAAACAATATAGTGTGTTTGCATGAAATGTGCATAGAAAAGGAAACGAAGCAGATTTGTTATTAGGCCTATTATCAATAGTTTGATATGAATTGATCTCATCCTCCGGGGTGGGTTGTGTCTGGAGGCAGATCTAGCTCTATCTGCCCCGGGCGCGCGCTGTCGGCACGAGGCAGAGACAGCACGCGCCCCTCAGGTCAGTGAGCGTGAGATAGAGCTTGGCAGGGAGATAATAGCAAAACACGCAGAAAATACACACACACACACACACACACACACACACACCCACACACACACACACACACACACACACACACACAATAAAACAACACAACATATAATTATCTTGACAACATGGATTAATAACAAAATAACATAAACTATATAACATATGTACTACGTCGTTATATTATTGGATCGTTTATTTCTGTGAATGACGTTTTAAAACATTGTATTTATTTTGTACATATATACACAAAGGCACACTAAGGTTTATTAAACCCGATCAAATCAGATCAAACCCGTTTATTTCATGCATTCTTTCCCTGACTCGGGCATTTGAAGTAGCATACATTTACAAAGGAAACTGTGAACTGGACCGTGATGGCGGGTAATTTTTGTAATTACGCTATTAATGTGGGACTGTTGAGAGCAGATGATGGCTGATTGCTGTTATTTAAGCTGCCATAAAAACGCAGCAAAAAGCAGGACTATTGTTATAAGATCGGTACCATAATTAACTGCAACACGCAATTAGGCAGAAGTAGGATACTCTTATTTTAGAGTAAAATTAAGAATATAATTTTATTTGTAATCTCCATATATGAATAAAATCATACCCAAAACGAACAAGAGATAAAATAATCGTACATAAGATTATTATTATTATTATTAGTAGTAGTAGGCTATTATACACATCTGCACACATCGTCAGTTTATTGATCTCTCTCTCTGTTCCTCCACTTTGATCCTGAAATGTAAGAATTTATATTTTTATGACAAATATCTTAGGCGTTTCCGTTTTAACATCTATCTATCTATCTATCTATCTATCTATCTATCTATCTATCTATCTATCTATCTATCTATCTATCTATCTATCTATCTATCTATCTATCTATCTATCTATCCATCTATCTATCTATCTATCTATCTATCTATCTATCCATCTATCTATCTATCTATCTATCATATAATTGATCATTTGTGTCTCTAGCTGTCTCTGTCAGCTAATAGACATTTCACAGGGTGCTGTGTGTTTTTTAAGGCAGTGATGAACATCGCCACCCCACGGAGTAAACAAGCCCAGTGAAAAACGCGTTATCCAGAGAGACCTACTTGTGGCAGGTTGTCGTAAATTATCCGTGTTTGGGTCCATATCAGGAGCCGAGGAAGAAGGTGCAGAAGACGCCATCAGTCCAGGAGAAGCACCTCACAGCTTTCAGACTGAAGAAGAAAATAAAAACCCACACTAAACGGAAAATATGGAGAATTAGGACAAAACAAAGTGATTGCACAAATCATACAAAACAATACCGTCCCGTGTCTCATATACTGCTTATAAAAATAAAAACAAGCGTTTTTGTTTTCAAGGAATCTCCAGCATAGTTGCACGCATCTGTGATATCCTTCTGAAACGGCAGTAACTCACTCCCCGTCACAAGGATCATCTGTCTCGTGTTCTGTCACGTTCAGAAATGCGCTCTGATAGAGCAGCGCACCTAACAGCGCATCCAAAGCGCGAGAAATAAGCAACACACTTAAGAAATAACGAAAAGAATTGTAGGAAAGTTCCGAAAATAACCCGACCTATATAATTTGGTATTTTGGATGGCGGTCCGGTTCTTGCTCTCCAGACGCCCCTCTGAGCTCCAGCGCGCAGCAGACCGTGAAGTCTGACTTAATTGGCTCTGTAACGAGGTCTTTAAAACGAATCATTTAAAACGCAGAAATGAAGAATCTGCTCACTTCAACCGCAGCATAATAAAGGCGACCAAGTCAGGACAGAAAGCATCATTTTGAAGGCATTATTAGCGATGATGACGATGATAAATATGCTTCTTTGTGCCAGATGATTTTACAGAAGGTCAGAAGCTCAGTTCGTTTAACCGATGCTCACTCCCCCCCCAAAAAAAGAGAGAGAGAGAAAATGAATAGAAAAAGAGTGACTTATTGATTTCTCAGTTAAGATGATCTTTAAATATCTTCAAATAACGCGCATCAATCACTGTCGGGGTTAGTGAAATATGGCCCAAAAATCATTGCGCTGCTCATGTGTTAAATTACACCATGTTTTTAGATCATTATTTTGCCAGACATGTTCCTATAAGATCACAATATTGGCAGAAACTGGTTTATATCTGCACATGCATTTATTATCATCGAGTATAAAAAGCATAATTAAGTTTCTGCTCCTCTTTCAAATATTCTTATCCCCCTCCTAACATTGTAGACAAGAAAAAGGGCTTGCATTTAGATCAAAACGCAGAAGGTGAGCGCTTACCTTACGAAGTCACAGGTGTCACAATAAAATCCAGAAAAACGGAGGCACACGGAGGATGTTTCACACCGCGTGATGTGGCTGTGAGACGCTTGGTATCAGAAAACCAGAAGAGTGAACAAGAAAATAAAAATCCATCCAGCGCCAATTCTTGAATCAGTGTTTATCCTTCAAAAGGCGACAGGAGAATCTCCAAAATTCACTTCTGCTGTATTTTTCCACCGGTTAATATCCACGGGTTTGTCTCGAGATTATTAAATGGACTCAAGCCATCTGACACATGAAGTTTAATTCTCCGAGTAAAATATATATACACACACGTCAAAATACCGTGGGAGTGAGAAACCGGTGAGTGAGAGAAAGAGAGAGAGAGAGAGAGAGAGGGGCAGAGAGTCAGACAGTGAGACATCACGAGAAACATCAGGTGCTTCTTGTTATTTTGGAGGGAAACCATAAACTATTTTTATTCTGTGTTAATTTAACAAAATTTTTAGAATCTGTTTTTTTCTTTAATTGCATGACTTGTGGATCAGCCCCAGTATAACCTAGATGAGACGTCTGGAACTATAACAACACCGACATCCACGAGGTGGCAACAGAGAACAGACCAACTTGAACTTGAATGAAGGATTTTTGGGCAGCGCCCTGGAAAATCACTTGAACTGCTGTGTACATGCTTGTAAGATCGTTTATTTTAGAACCTCTGCTGATTACGCTTGTCAATACTGACGACAACTTTTCATTGGTTGTTGTTAATTATAAGCGCACCGCCGTTTCAGCACCTGGACAGCTCCGCTCAGCCAATACCTGCATTCAGAAGAGACCGGGGCTAGTTGTCACGCATTTTGCAGTCAGTCAGTATTTCTCTGGGTGGGTTTTTCCATATTTTAACCCTGCAGGCGCAAGTTTTGACAACAAAAAAGTAGTCAACGCAAACATCGTTATTTCCTCTTAACTCATTGTGATTTTGTGTTCACCGTGCAACAGCTATTTCAAAAATATGACGTCTTGAAACTTACTATAGAGAATAAAATTCACGACAACTGTAGTTTAAATTAATTTGAAGACGTTTGAATTCAACACAGCCACTGCTAAAAACCCCCCAAACATTTGGATAATTGGACTACTCAAAATATTATAGCTACTATATATTATAGAAATGACCTAATTAAACAAAATTAGATAGATAGATAGATAGATAGATAGATAGATAGATATATTGATTATAATCTCACCTATCAGTAATTTTTCTTCTATGAGAGGTAGGAAGCTCTTGGCCTCTGAGTTCTGAGGCTCATAAATTAAAACTGAATTTAAAGAAGGATGAAAACATCAGTATCATTTATATGAGAAATGCCAATTGTAAACAATACTAATTCACATGGCTACTTACTCATCTGACAGAGTTTCTTTGCAAGCTGGTAATTCCTTGTCATCACGACCTGTAGAAACTGGATTTATAGAAACAAAAACAGAACATTTGTTTAATCAGTAGTCATTTTCAAATACATCAGGTACATGACGTGTCCTATATGCCTCACCTCTGCAAACAATTCTATTGGCACGTGTCCTTCAGCGCTCTCATTTCCATCCTCTTCACTCTGTGCCTCATGAGGATCCTGGTCATTTGCAGACAGCACTACTTGAGGGGCCTGAATATGTAGCTCATGCACACTTTCTGACTGGACATCGCATTCTCCTTGTTTTTCTAATGCTTAAATTAAAAAAGAAAATAAATTTCTGGACACCATGGGTATCACAAAATGCTTCAGATATTCAGAGACAAATAGATTGAACAATAAATGTGCTGAAAAGGACTAAAGGATAAAAGAGAGTCAGTACCTGTCATAATAGGGGGAACCTGTTTAGGTAGTTTATGTCCATGCGTGGTTACATTTCTGAAGGACGGAGCTTTAGAGGCATTATACCCTCTGCTGCTGAAAAAATGGGTGATAAAAGGTAAACTATTAGAGATCACTGGAGCGAATGAATGCCATCAGCTTCCCTGCTTTATGCATGTACGGCCCATAAACCACATCCCATGCATGACCCAAAGAGCATGCTGACCGGAATGCAAAAAGCAACTGATATACTCAAATTAAAAATAAGCTTGTTTCTTTAATCCTTTCAGTATTGAGCATCTATCTTAATTCTCTAGTATAGAAAACTTGTTGCTTTTAGTTATTATTTTGTGAAATGAAATGCTTTTGTTTGTACCTGTTGGAAGTGTATACTTTGAGTGTGGTATCTGATGTTTCAGAGTTCAGGGACGGATTGACCTCTGTCTTTATTGAAGGATCCTGACCCTCTGTCTTTTCACCAGGTTTTGCTTTCATTTGCCTGGATATACAAAACCAAAACCAAAGCATCTAAATGATGGTTGAAGTGGATCAGTACAATAAAAATGTTTTAAATAAGCATTCTTATTTCAAGTAAATATGTTAAAAAAAATAGTTTCCTTACCCTCAGCCCATTCAATATTTGGAGAAATGTAGCATTCCATCACTTGCTCGGCAATGGATGCTCTGCAGTGAATGGGTGCCGTCAGAATGAGAGTCCAAACAGCTGATAAAAACATCACAATAATCCACAAGTAATCCTAACCTAACACAAACAAAACACAAACACAGTATAACATCATCAGTTAGCGTATTCTGAAGTGAAAAGATGCTTCTTTGTAAAAACAAATTAATAATTAAGACGGTTTTTAATCATCACTTCTGGCTAAATTATTAGTCCATAATCCACAATAATGTTTCCTCCAGTGAAAAAGTGCATCCCCTGTTGTCCTCTCACATCAAAATCTACAGTCGTTTTATTTTAAACTGTTTTGGACTGTTTTTGCTCATAAATCTCTGCATATTTCTCTCCTGATTCAGATGAAACAACTTTTTCACTGGAGAAAGCGATATTATGGATAGAGGACTCGCATTTTCGATGGAAACAATGGTTTGAAGTTAAAAACATCTTGATGGATTTTTTTCTTTCAAACATGCAGCTTTTGGCTTCATAAGATATTAACTGATGGACTGGAGTGGTATGGATTACTTGTGGATTATTGTGATGTTTTTATCAGCTGTTTGGACTCTCATTCTGACGGCACCCATTCACCGCAGAGGACCCACTGGTGAGCAAGTGATGGAATGCTACATTTCTCCAAATCTGTTCCAATGGAGAATCAAACTCATCTAAATCTAGTGTGGCCTGAGGTCAGTAAATTTTCAGCTAATTTTCATTTTTGTTCAACTAATTGTAAATATCCCAGTTCTTTTACATTGAGCTGTTGACTGAGAGCTGCATGCAATTTTTGTTCATTAACCACTGTTATAAAATGTCTCTACTGCTTTTACCTTGTGGAACTTGGAGCTTTGAGTTTCATATTTGTTGTCTGAGAGTTTACAGAGGGTCCCTGTCCTTCTGTCTTTCCACTAAGTTTTGGTTTGTGTTGCCTACACAAAATCAAACAAAGCACCTAATACATTTGACATGGACATGTTTTTTTAAATCAAGTAAAGCTTATTGTATGTGTCAAAAAGCATATTGAATTCAAAAGACCTGATTTTTCTGCAATAAAAATCTTCATTGTTCAGAGGTCAGCATTCAAACAATATATAATCGTAGTGACCTAGAAACACATTTTTTAAACCTACTTTGGTTTCCATTCCACTGATTCTTTTGCCACTGGATCTACAGAACAAAGCAGTTGATTTCATTAACCCTTTCAGAAGAAAATAAGCCTTTAAGGAAACCAAGACAGACCGTTGTCATGTGCATGTAACTGCTAAATGTTACAAAACAGTTGCTATAGACATTATGTGTATATGAATAGATAGATATTGATTCATGCAGACTAACACCTAAATTATTTTACCTGCTGAGCTGCCAATCACTGGTTTTAAGGGTGCAACCTCCTTTAGCAGAAATAGAAAAAGGACAAAATGTAAACAAGACTTAAGTCAAATCAATGCTTTAAAAGAATACATACACTACTAAAATAGCACAATGATCAACTTCAGATACAAATGTTTCAAGTCCGAAAGAAACCCCGATATCAGTATCGAACTGGAACATGAATGACCTCCAAATGTAGATTGTGCTGCCACTGACCTTTTCACTGACTTTGGATGAGACTTCTGAGGGCCCTCCAACACACTGTAAACTTATTATCAATAATAAACAGGTCTTTATGAGTTAAAGAAATGGTAAAGCCATTATATAAAGTTAAATAAAGTGTATTTATACTAATACAAATCATAAAAATGTTTAAAATACAATTGTGTGTTCATGCTGAGTTCATGTAAAAATATGCCAGATGCTATTTTAACATATAGCTAACAGTCCAAGTTAGATCAGTCTCGCTATACAGTACTGACTGTAACTCAAGAATCTGTCGAATTTTTTAAGCGTTGATCACTATCAGTCACATTCTACTGCGATATTTACAGCGCACTAAAGTAGAAACACAGGTATAAACTGTGAAAAATAACGTAGACAATGGAAGTCATATTGGCTAATAACTTAACATGAAAAGTGCCAAATATGAGCGCTCTTACCTGTTCATCTGTGCAAAGTGTCTAACTTTATATTTATAAAGATCTATGGACTGTATTTGAGAGATGAAGGGGTCATTTTTTTACTACACAGTATATTTGTATTACACAATATGTTACAGCATAAAATTACTGTATTAATAATAATAATAACCATAACAACAACAACAACAACAACAATAATAATAACAGCAGGATATACAGTATACACAATACTCTTCTAAATAATAAACAGTGCACAATATAGGCTACTCTTCTTTGGTCCATGAGTATTTTAACTTTCAAGTTATCAAAAAACGACTAAAATTGTGCATTTGTTTTTGGTGTGGTTGAAAAAAACACAGTATAAAATAGTAGGCTCTACACTTGATATAGCCTAGCAGCCAAATGTCTTTTTGAAAACGAAGGTAAATGACAATTAACGCTTTTGCTTAAGTTAACCTCTTAAGTGTTTCCATGTTGCATAGGGTAAACTTTGTTACTTCAAAATTTCCTAAGGTCAAAAAATGTCTATATAGACACCGTAAAGTCCTGACGATAAAACGCTTTGAATTTTCTCAAGAAAGAAAGAAAGAAAGACTTGGCCTAACCCACATCTTTTGAGCTTGTTGTGGCTATATGGCTTAAGATGACATCAAACAGCTTGTTTTTCTGTTATATTTAAACCAATTATGAAAACAATTGATGAAACAGCAAACACACAAAAATGTGAAACTATTGTTTTGTCCAACAAATATTGTAATTAATAAAATGTACATGTATAACATTTACAAACAAATGTGACAACTTGCCCCAAATTAAAGATTAACTTGAATTAAAAACACACCCCAACATTTTATATTTACTGAGATGGCCCGCAAAAAGTGCTCACAAAATACGATCTAAGACTACTGTTCAAGAGTTTTGTTGACGTGATCCAGCACGGGGAACAGCGGTCTGTTCTTGCGCATCAGGTGCGTCTTCAGGTGTTTGGCCAGATGGTCGCTGCGCGTGAAGCGTTTGGCGCAGTCCGGACAGGTGAAGCGCTTCTCGCCGGTGTGCGTGCGCAGGTGCCGCTGGAGCTCGTCTGAGCGCGTGAAGCTCTTCCCGCAGAACATCCAGCTGCAGACGAACGGCCGCTCACCTGCGTGCCACCTCAGGTGCGCCTTCAGGTGCGACGTCTTGCCGTACACCTTCCCGCAGCCCGGCATGTGGCACATGTGCTGCTTTCTCTTCCCCGGCGCGTCGCTGCTCTTTTGGCAGTTGGGGCACATGCACCTCCGGCATCTGCGAGACTTGGAGTGCAACAGGGTGGCGATTTGAGTCTGGTACTGGCCGAGCTCAGGGTGACCCAGAACCCACCCGCGGGGGATCTCAAATTGATGTGTTGAGGAATGATTGGCAGTCCACCATTGGTCCAAAAGTCCATTGTGCGTGGGCACGTAAGACGTGGGATGAGTAGCGCATGCTGACGCACAAGGCAACATCTTCAGGGGAGAGAAGTCATAGTGTTCGGCCGGGGGTGTCAGTGGTATTTCGTGGTGTGGACTTAAGGGGGTCTGGAGGTGCTGTGAGAAAGTTGCATCACTTCTCCAGGGATGGAAGAGCTTTGGTGGGGAGCCTTCATATGAGATGTGCTGGTGGGGCTCCATGAATCTGGGTGCACGGGAATGGCAGATGCGATTACAGGTGTCTTCCAGCAACATCAAGGGGGATCCTTTGGTGCATTCTGGGGTGGAGTTTGGCGTCCGATCCTACGAAATAAAATAGCAATACTTAAAACGTACGTTTGATTGATTGGCACTCTAATCCAATTCTTTATTCTAGCACTTAGCCTATGTAAGGCAATTATTAAGAGTGAGAACCACTTCTCTGAATCACACTGGCACTATGTTTTGTGCAAACGAATGCTCAAAGTTAATGCTTAAAATAATGAACTCCCCTTAAATCAACATGCATGCTTTAAATCCATCAAAACGATAAGTTTAACACAGTTCCCCTCAGAGAATACTCTTTACGCACCTGAAGGAAAGCATGCAGTGGGTCATTGCGCATTATGCCAATGGAGACTTGTCGAGCCAGAATCCTTATAGTTCCCAAAGCTGCGCACCTCAAACAACTCACGGGAGACTCCTGGAGCAAAGTGAACACACTGGCATCATTTCATTGAGGTTGATCAGAACTCCAGCCAGTCAGAATGAAGAGTTTTCACTTTGAAGTTTACCGCTGCCCAATCATCAAAGAATAACGGAAGAGCTCAAATCCTTTGAGAGTTTGCTGCTTTGGATAATAAAATAATTGATTATTTGGAGGGTGAGATGGGTAGAGATGAAGGAGGTGCAATTAATGAATGAATTAATCTGGATTAGTTGAATGGATCAAAGAAATAATAAAAATGTACAGTATATGTCACTGAAGAGATACATTTAAACATACAGTAATTGTGGCTTATGTCTATGAGGCGTGATTGAATAATTTTATTTGGGGGGGGGGGGTTAATGCATGTTAGTTGGGTAATATGGTAAAATATGAAAAGTTGCAACTTTAAACTAAATAAAGGGGTACCTACCTACACAGGTTCAGGTTTTCCTTGTCAAACATATAAAATAGGAATAAATAAATAAACACACAAGGATCTATACAAGGACTGCTTACCAATGAAAGGTTTTTTTCTTAGTTCCATTTTAGAAAAAGAAAGCAAAATAATGTGTGCAAGTTTATAAAACTGTGTGTAGACGCCCCTCATAGCATAAGGAGCGGTTGAAGCATTTCAAGGTCCTGGAGTGGCCTAGCCAGTCTCCAGACCTGAACCCAATAGAAAATCTATGGAGGGAGCTGAAACTCCGTGTTGCCCAGCGACAGCCCCAAAACCTGAAAGATCTGGAGAACACCTGTATGGAGGAGTGGGCCAAAATCCCTGCTGCAGTGTGTGCAAACCTGGTCAAGAACTACAGGAAGCGTCTGACCTCTGTAATTGTAAACAAAGGTTTCTGTACCAAATATTAAGTTCTATTTTTCTATTGTATCAAATACTTATTTCATGCAATAAAATGGAAATTAATTATTAAAAAATCATACAATGTTATTTTCTGGATTTTTTTTTTTGATTCGGTCTCTCACAGTTGAGGTGTACCTACGATGAAAATTACAGATCTCTCCATTCTTTGTAAGTGGGAAAACTTGAAAAATCGGCAGTGTATCAAATACTTATTTGCCCCACTGTAACTTGCTTATTGCCATTTCTGTTTTATTGCCATTTTTCAGTTTAAAAGTAATTTTTTGTAATAACAGGTATTTTAAAAATCAGTGCAATATAAGTTTAACAAAAACAAACAAACAAACAAAACTACAATATAATTTAAAAGGAATGCACAGGAACATCAGTTTATACTCTCTGAAATATATCATAGCAACAAGTTTTTCAGGAACATACAATTTGAATGTCCCATGCACATCAAAATCTAAACTGCTCTTTTGGATCAAATTTAGTATATTTCATTTGGAATAAACAAACAAACAAATAATGGAACCTTATGGAGGGTAGATGGAACTAGAGTGTTTTGCTTCTGTATTTTTGAAAAATTATACACATTAGAAATCTGTACAAACATAATGATAAATTACATTGCACACAAAACTTGAAAACTTTAATATATTTGAATACACTCTGATAATTTCTTTCACCAACTACTTTTGAGAAACTTTAAATAAAAGATTTTACAGTTTAATAATATTACAACGATTTAAAAAGAACAGCATGGAAACTTGCTGGTCCATTCACGATGACGCAGTGAAAGTGAAGGACGCGGTTAAGAGGCAGCGTGTGGGAGGCTGGGCTATTGAATACCTCTCAAAGTGCTTACAAGGGTGTCTCGAACTAGAGCAACATCTGTGGCTTTCCACAACAAAGCAGAACTCTGTTCCTTCACGGCACGCAGCTTTGAAGTCTCATGAAGACAGAAAGCAGCCATTGTTCTCTCAGGCCTACATGAAGGCCCTCCAACTTGGGTCTCTTTAATTTAAAAGTTTCCCCCAGTAATGCGATAGTTCTCTCCTGTTTCCCTTAGTGAACCTTTGAGGTGAAGCCTGGTTTTGTGTTTAAAAGCCAGAGTTCTGGCGAGTACTTTAGCCCTGGGTCATGAACTGTGGGCCGTTTGAACCGGTTTACGTGTGTGTGGTATACGGTCCTGCTTAAGAGTGCATAAGCTGATGAATGCATTCAATTACTCAGGAGTTACTGTTAATAAATGGGTATTTTAAAAAGTACTGCTCCAGTTACACTTTGTGTAAACCCAGTTAACCTCAAATCTCTTGAAGACTAAATGATTTGAGCTATGCAACCCATGTTATTTTTATAGCTGTATATTTTTAACGTATCACAACTATTGGGTCTATTTAATCTAAGGAACTTTAAACGAAACCTCTGAGACCTTATACAAGATGCTTCAATAAGAGCTCCACCGAGACTCCTGAAAGAGCGACCAAAACGTGCGATACAATATATCCTCTGGGAAATTATACTGTAGTTTGAAAAGAGACTTCTTAGACTTACTTTTTCAAACTCTTGTTTACATTTGATCTATTATTTGGCAGATACTTCTATTCAAAGTCACTCACTACTTTATTGTAATAGTGCAGAAATGTTCACACATTTTTGTTGAAGTGTAATATATGCATAATGCATTAATAAATGCATAAATAAATTATTTATTAGGGCTGCTTGTCAATAGATTAAAATAACTCATTGGAATTAATCGGTACAGACAGAAAACAAAATAATGAGTAAAGTGTGACTAAGGTGCTCAATTTGGTGAAAATGTACTTTGAAGAAAATTTTAAGTTAATTTCAGAAATAATTACAAACAGATGATATTACAAGTAACACATTGAATTAAACATGATTTTTGAGTAGCAAGACTGCAATAGTATTTTCTTGTAAAATGTACAACAGTAATATTTATTTATAACTTTGAAAAATCATTTTTAGTGTAATAGTGCAGAAGTGTTCAGATTTTTTCGTTGAAGTGTCTAG